ACCAGAATATTGCCATTGGCAAAGCTCACCTTTGGTGTCCAGAGTTTTTACTGGGGCTCATCACATACTGCCTGCATGGCTGACCTTAGTCATCAGCCCCTCCCAGAGGTCAGGCTAAGATCTTTAGTTGCCCGATCCCTCAGAAGTCAGAGCTGATATTGTGTGACCCAAAGTTCCCGTCATAAACTACATTGTTAGACTGTCCAGTGGCCAAAGCCCTAGGCAAACAAAGACTCTTCTGTTAGGCAGGAAATTCCAGGGGCCTAAAGATTATCTCTAGTAGCTAAGGCAAAGGCCAGGTCTCTCTTTAGGTGAGGCTAACTACTTCACTACCCAAGGATAGCGATCCTTTTGCCTCTGCCCATACTTATACTCAAATTCAAAATTACGATACCAATAATGACCAACCTCATTTCATCTGATAGTGTGCCAGAGTCAACTCCTATTAGTTCACCAAAACTGTTAAATATTTAGGAGTTTTGTAAGCTGGTTGTTAAACACAGCTGTTATGAAACACGTAGTTATATAAACTTGTAATTATATGGATTAGATTAAAAACAAAGATAATAAATGTTCAAAACTCTTCATGTTGCAATTATTTTACTGCATTTTACTATTAATATACTCTTGATCTTATCTAGATCTACTGTATCTGGTGAGATTAGGTAGAATGTTAGGCTACTAGGCCTCTCTTCCCATCTCTGCCTTCAGTGACATCACGTTGGTGGCATGAAATTGACCATGGTAAGAATAGTTACACCATGAAATTCAGCAAATGCTATGGAATCAGGACTTTTTTGGATACATTTTAATTTTGAGAAGCATCTTTCTGTTGATCCAACTGTTACTAGAATTGTTAAGAGTATTTTCATGTGACAACATGAAGATACATTTCTGAGAAATTATTTCAAAAATAAATCATAGTATTTCTAGAGCTAATGATTCTGATGGGGCAATTTTTCTAAAAAATTTTAACTCTTCATACATATCAGTTTGTTGTAAGCCTGAATTTAATTTTAAATGTAAATTGATACATAGCATTTTAGTATTTTTTTTCTGACATTTCCTATAAATTGTGGAGGTTGTACAAGAAAAGTGGCTTTTTCATTTGTGTATAATTAAAGTGTAAAAATAAAATATAGGTAATTAAAATTTCATTCATATGAAAATCCTTTTTTCTGTTGTATACAATAATCTCAAAATGAAAGGTCTGTTTCCAAGACTGTGGATATTTGCTTTGCAGTGTTGCAGCGGTTTTCAAAACCAGAGATCCTGATCTCTTTGAAGAAGTCTAGTAAGTACTTGCTATGCTTTATTTTAATGTACATGGGTATGCTTTTATCTTGTAGCAATTTGCTGACGAAGTTTATTGCCTGAGAGCAAGAGCAAGATCACAGATACTTTTCGATAATCTTTAATTTTAATTCTGGGCAGAATTCGCAAAGATACATCCCGGGGATGGGAGTGGAAGCCAGTTTATGTCCATGAGGAGCCCCTCCTCTTTCTGGGGGCTGCGGCTGCCATTGTTGCTTCCAGCCTGGGCCAGCCTGGATGCAGCCAATGCTCAGACCACAGGGCACCTCAGCCTGTCCCACACTGATCCTGACTAATGCTGACCAGCTTCTTAAAGTGCATGTTGCCTGTTCTACCACAGGCCCAAGGGAGTGGTGGGGAAAGTATAGTTTAATTTTCTTGTTCTTTTTTTCTATTTTTCTGTATTTTCCTCAAGAGCAGGTAATAGTTAAATAACTAGACCACATTTATTTTTAATATCAATTACATTATCAACTCTTTTTCTGAATTTATGACTTTGTAACATTCCATTTGTCCCTTTATATAGGGTATACCTGAACGGGGTGTATATTAGGCTGAAAAAGCACAGTGGGCAGTAATTTGAAATTTGTTTTAGTAAAATACCTACTTATCCTTGATTTATTTTTAGTTGTGTCCTAATTTCTTTAAGGACCGTGGTCCATTTTAATTTACATGAGTGACTTACTCTGTATGACGATCAGAGAGGAACTTCTGTAATAGTTTATGTTTTAAATTGCTCTTGAGTGGACAAAAGATGTCTTAGAAAGTATTGCTCCAAATATAAATCCTTTAAAAATAATCAGAGACTAAGTAACAAGAATGAAATCTCATTTTCTTTTGGGCCCCTTTATTAGCCAAGATGAGTGCTTTACACCTTAAGAGAAAAGCAGAGGGGATGATGGACTGGCATATCAATGGAAACCTATCTCTGATGTCACCACTTGTACAGTTTTCCTGGAAGACAGAAAAAGATTGAGATAGGAAGGGATGGGGCTGCAAAGAACTGTTTAATTTTTTTAAAAAAGATTTTATTTATTTGAGAGAGAGACAATGAGAGATAGCGCAAGAGGGAAGAGGGTCAGAGGGAGAAGCAGACTCCCTGCTGAGCAGGGAGCCCGATGTGGGACTCGATCCCTGCACTCCAGGATCATGACCCGAGCTGAAGGCAGTCGCTTAACCAACTGAGCCACCCAGGCGCCCTAAGAACTGTTTAATTTTTTAAAAAGTATTTACTTACTGGTTCATGCTTGAGAGGATTTTTGAGGTATCTCCCTATCTTAAAGTGAATTAATCCCAAACTTATCCAAACTAAATAGAATAGAGATGCCACTGAATGTAGAGGAAAACTTAATGAAACCAAGCTCAGAAATCTGGAATCCCACTTAGAGGTTTCCTTTATCTCTTCCTCTTTATCTCCTCCATTGTCTTTTTGGAGTTTGGAGTCCAGTTCCCGTCCTTCTACACTTCTCTCCATTGTCATGGAGAACTCTGATAACTCTTTGCATCTAAAAAGGAAAACAACTCAGGTAAGAAGGGGGTGGGCAGGGCTGTACTCCTACCTGGGCAACTTAAGGGTAATTGGAGGGGGAGAAAAGGTCTCTGTAAAAATCTATTATTAGTCTCTCTTTGGGATTAAGACATTGTCTCAAAGTAAGGATTTTAGGTAAAGAATTGATATATTGGCTTATTAAACCTACTATCATTTCAGCAAAGGCAATTTCACTATCCTAGTCAGCTGCTAATTTAGAAAGTTAGACTTTTATAGTGTTAACCTTATTCACGCACCCACACAGGCACACTCGGAGCCGCTTTGGTTACACAGCCCAGTATTTAGCACATTGTAGCACAAAGTGTACTCTTAATATATTTCTATTAAATTGATGGACAGGCAAAGAGGAAAGGCTGTAGTGTGTTCTGCGGGGAAGATGGTAGATTCAGGTGTGTGTGGGGCCTGGATATTAAAGCTATCAAGAGACAAAAAGTTTTGACATAAGGATAAAAACATCCATGCTTGGGTTTCTCAGTTTCATTTTGCAGTCACTAAGTTTCAAATCACCAAAGTGAAATGGATGAAATGCGTCTTGACTTGGAATATGTTTGTCTTCATTCACTGGGTTTTCAACTGCTCAGATACATCTTAAAATTAAAAAAAAAAATGGTGTGGTAAAGAGTCACACAAATGCTCAGTATAAGAACAATTTTTGCCTTTTATTTTACTTTTTTTTTTAAGATCAATGAACCTTTTAAGAATTTTTGAAGGATGGGAATAAATGGCAAATTTTGTATTTTAAGTTTTTTCTCTGCGGATGTGTCAAATTCCAGGTAACTTCAGTAACATACAGCAATAGAAATTTACGATGGCCCTCAAAGAGTTAACAGACTTTTCAAACCTGGAGAAATTCTAGTAATCTTTCTGGGATACGTAATTTATTTACATATATAACTAGCATTTTTAGAAAAAGAAAATAACTTTTCAGAAAAATGGGGAGATTGGGAGTCAAAGCCAGAGGCGTTAACGTTTTAAACTTTTTTCTTCTTTTTTTTCAAGTGGTATTGACTTAGCAGGAACAGTTCAAACACGCCCACAGTCCAGGAAATAATCATCAGACCCAAGTGATCCACTTAGATGGGAAGAAAAAGCATCTCCTGGGTCGTCTTAAGAGTTTTAGTAAGAAATAAAATGAGAAGCAATGTTTCAGAAGTCAATTCAATGCCCAGACCCAAACCCCAAATCCAACCTGGTACTTTTCCTAAGTGCGAGCAGAGCAATGGGTGGTAAAGGCAAACAGCCCGGGGCGCCCCCTGAACAAACTGCGCGGGGCGGGCAGGAAGCCCTCGGCCAGGAGACCCTTTCTCTTGGTTTTGGGAAGGTGTTTGGGGAAGCTCCGTTTCCCCCACGCCCCACGCGGAGGCTGCGAGCGCGGGGCGCAGGCCGGCGGGGCACAGAAAGGCCCGGGGACGAGACGCGGACAGGGCGCCGGGCAGGAGAGCGTGTAGCCGGGCGCCGCCGCCGCTGTTGTCCGGGGTCCTGAAAGCCGGGAACTTCCCGGGAAGCAGCGGACACTTTTCTCGGTGACGGAGCGGGGTTGTGGGGGTTTCAGGGTGCGCACCTGCTAAGCCCTCCCTGGCCCTGGGCCCGGAGGTGCGGGCAGATGAGGCCCTCCCCAGCCCCGTGGGTGGGGGTGCGTGATTGGGGGGGCGGCGGTGAGCACGGCCGGGAGCGCCAGGCAGGACCCCGGTGGCCCTTCTCCGCCTCTCGGGCAGCACCGCGCCGTGACCCCGCTCCACCTGCGCGCGAACTCCGGCGGCCGGGGACGGGGGAGCCCGGGGCTGAGTGCGGCGGCAAGCTGGGCGGGGGCGGGGGCGGAGGGTGCTGGGGGTGGGGGGCGGCCCTAGTCGGGGGATGGAGGGGGGCCGGGTGGAGGCGAGAGCGAGCGGGGCATGCGCAGTGGGGCGGAGGAGGTGGCGATGGCCGGGGGAGGCGGGGGGACTGCTGTTTATTTGCAGCTGGGCCAACTCGGCGGCGCAGGCGGCGGCGGAGTGCGGGGCGCCAGCGGCGGGTCCAGCTGCCGCCGCACCATGCCCGAGCCCACCTCCGGGCAGCCGCGGCGCGCCGCCGGGGCCCGGGCCGGGGAGGATGCCAGACGCCCGGGAGCGGCCAGGGCACCGGTGGCGGCGGCGGCACGATGGTGGTGACAGGCTCTGCCCGAGGCAGCGGCGGGGACCGCGCGCCCTCCCGGCAGCGGGGCTGCGGACTCGCGCCGGCCGGGGCCGCGGCGCTGCTGGCCGGGGCGAGCTGCCTGTGCTACGGCCGCTCCCTGCAGGGCGAGTTCGTGCACGACGACGTGTGGGCGATCGTGAACAACCCCGACGTGCGGCCCGGAGCCCCGCTCCGCTGGGGCATCTTCACCAACGACTTCTGGGGCAAGGGCATGGCCGAGAACACCAGCCACAAGTCCTACCGGCCGCTCTGCGTCCTCACATTCAAGTGAGTCCCTCACCTCGCCCTCGCAGCCGCCGCAGTTTCTCCTCACCTCTTGTCGGAGCTGGGAGAAGTTGCGGGACCGGCTCGGGGGGCGGGGGTCGTTTCTTTTCTTGCGGTCCCTTCCCCTCCACACCACCTTCCTCTCCTCTGTCCACGCCACTCTGCGCCGCGATTCCCGGCCCCGCTTCTCTGGGCTCCCGGGGCGGTTCGGGAGGCGCGGGCTGGGAGTTGGGATCGAGTTTCTCAAGAGTCTATGCTCTCGGCGGGCTGGTCTCTCGGGCAAGGGCTGGTTGCGGGCTGGTAGAGCTGCTACCGCACTCCCACCCCAGCCGGACGGTGGTCAAGTGCGCCCGCGCGGGCCCAGAGAGTTCCGGACCGGAGGCTGTGGTGGGGATGCTTGCAAGTTGGGAATTTCTCGGAGGCTGTTGGGCAGCCTTGCTGATGGGGAGAGAATCCGTCCCTTTGGGGTCGCGTTCGGAGGAGAAGAGACGGGAGCCAGGAGCTGCCAGGGCTGCATGGGTTTTGGAGAGGTACAGCGGAGGTAAGCGGAGGCTCTCCCCCGATCTGCAGCCTTTGGCTGCTCCCGGAGCCTTTCCAGTCTGCAGGTCTGCGGAAGGGCTTGGGATTTAAGATTTTAAAAGATGCACAGCAAAGGAAGGCCGAGCGTGGGATTCTCTGGGGATCCTGGTGTCCCAGTCGAAATAGTTTTTGTTTTACAATCGCAGAGTCATGATTCAGCATTTCTGGTGTGAATAAAGTGTAAAGGGAATCGAGGGAACGCCAGGTTTTTGTAGGGTGGAGTATTCTCTTGAATTTTAAAAGCGGGCTTGCTTCAGTTGGAAGAGGAGGAGGGCTTTGTAAGAGTGCTATCTCGTACACCGTGAGCTTGACTCAACCCTTCGCAATTTGGCTCCGCATTTAAGCTTATAATGTGCCGGACAAAAACTTGAAATAATATTGGTTCAGTATCATCAGTGTTTTAAGCCTTTTCCAGTGGGTGTAATATGAACCCGTCTTCATGGTAATGGTCATTCGAGACGGGATAGGCAGCTTGAAAAGCTTGCCTGGGGCCAGGAGGCCACGGTTTCTTGACAGGTGGCTGTGATGACTTAGAAAAGGAAACCATAGCAGTTGGCAGTAATTCATGGGCTTTTGACTTAATTCTTCCCCTGAAATTTCAGTGTTTTAAAAGAGGGTGAGGAAATTGCACATTTGACTCCGAAGAGAGTATTTTATAAACATTTGTCCTCTTGGAAAAGTGGTTTTGGTTTTCGGCTGGAAGATAACTTCAGCTACTGAGTTGCTCAGTACTCTCAGTTTTCCAAATGTTTCTTAAAATCTTAGATGGCACAAATATATATGTTTATCTTCTAAATTGGCCTGCTTTTTCATTTATCACAGTGAAGGATGATGGTTCATTTAAGGTGTGGAAGCTCACAGCATGAGATGTGCTGGGCTTGTAACAGCCATGGAGAGTGTCTTGATCTGAGCATTTTCCATTTTAAAAGGTTAGGGCCAAATGCCTGTGCCCACTTGGTGGAGGATGGGGAAGGTGTTTTCACTTCTTGACTTTCTAAAATGTTTTTTCAGGCATGCAGGAGATGGCAGGGACAGAAAAGAGGAGTGGGGAAGGAAGTAGACAATGAGGCAAGGCCATTGATGAGGAGGAAGGTTAGCAAGGGTTTGGGGGAACAAGGTAAGGGGGCAGGAGAGTTGCAGGGCGGGGCTGACTCCTCACTACATTCTCCTTGGTTACAAAATGCAGATTGGTGTCTAAGAGCATTGCTCTTTGTATGTCTTATCTTACTGGCTGTGTTTCTGGAGAAGATTGAGTTGTAAATCTAGAGAACAACACAGCACTACTGGAAAGGGGTAGATGTCTCTTCAGAAAGAGAAAGTTAGCTCATCTTTCCATGTTCACAGGTGTGGATTAAAATAAGACCTGGAAGCTTTCTCCACACTGGATCTTCTTGTGCAGCCGCATAAAGAGGGGCATGTACGAGGGCGTGGTTGATGATGCTAGACCCACACAACTCTAAAGATTGTTGCAAGGAAGGACAGACAATCATAGTAATTAATTACTCAGTGTGAACCAAGCATTGGCCTGAAACACTTTACATAGATTATGTCTTTATGATCTTTATTTTAGGTAGTTGGTGAAAATAAAGTTAAAGTGGCCTTTTAAATATGTATACACACTGTTTTAATTATATCTTTTTTTTTTTTAAAGATTTTATTTATTTATTTGAGAGAGAGAGAATGAGAGATAGCATGAGAGGGAAGAGGGTCAGAGGGAGAAGCAGACTCCCTGCTGAGCAGGAAGCCTGATGTGACACTTGATCCCGGGACTCCAGGATCATGACCTGAGCCGAAGGCAGTCGCTTAACCAACTGAGCCACCCAGGCGCCCTGTTTTAATTATATCTTAAGCTAGGTTTGTTTGAATAAAAATCTTTGAGAATTCGAGAACATTTTTATTTATTTTTATTGTGGTAAGAACACTTAACATGAAATTTGCCATTTAAAATTCTTAGGAGCACGATACAATATCATTAACTCTAGGCACAGTGTGGTACAACAGATCTCTGGCGCTTATTTCTCTTGCACAACTGGAACTATATACCTGCTGAACAGCAGCTCCCTGGGCTCCCCTTCCCCTGCCCTTGGCAGCCATCCTTCTACTCTGTTTCTATGAATTTGACTATTTTAGATACATTATGTAAGTATAATCATGCAGCATTTGTCCTGTGACTGGCTTATTTCACTTAGCATAATGTCCTCCACATCCATCCGTGTTGTATATGACAGGATTTCCCTTTTTAAGGCTGAATAATATTTCATTGTATGTATAGACCACTTATTTTTTATTTTTTTAAAAGATCTTATTTATTAGAGAGTGAGCAAGAGAGCGAGTACGAGCACGAGAGGAAGCAGAGGGAGAAGCAGGCTTCCCGCTGAGCAGGGAGCCCGACGCGAGGCTCGATCCCAGGACCCTGAGATCATGACCTGAGCTGAAGGCAGACACTTAACCACTGAACCACTCAGGCACTCCCCACTTTTTTTTTTAATCCATTCATCTGATCATGGGCAATTAGGTTGTGTCCATGTCTTAACTGTTGTGAATATTGCTACAGTGAACTTGGCAGTGCATATATCTCTTCAAGATCCTGATTTCAATTCTTTTGGATTTATAACCAGAAGTAGGATTGCTGGATTATAAGGTAATTGTATTTTTAACTTTTTGAGGAATCGCTATACTGTTCTCCATAGGAGCTGCACCTTTTATGTTCCCACCAATAGTGTACAGTGGTTCTAGTTTTCCACGTCCTTGCCAACACTTGTTATCTTTTTTTTTTTCATAAAAGCCAGCCTAATGGTTGTGACAGAGGTGATAACTCATTGTGGTTTTGATTTGCATTTCCCTGATGATTAGTGATGTTAAGCATCTTTTCATGTACCTGTTGGCCATTTGTATGTCTTTTTTTTTAAATTATAATTGACATAAAATACTCTATTAGTTTCAGATGTATACCATAGTGACTTGATGTTTTTATATATTATAAAATGGTCCCCACTATAAGTCTGGTTACCGTCTGTCACTATACAAATTTATTACGGTATGATTGTGTTCCCTAGGCTGTACATTACGTCTCATGACTTATTTATTTTATAACTGGAAGTTTGTACTTAATGCCCTTCACCTATTTTGCTTGCCGCACCCCCCCCTCCACTATCCCCTCTGGTAACCAGTTGTTTCCTGTATCTGAGTCTGTTTCTGTTTTGTTCTGTTAGGTTGTTTTGTTTTTTAAATTCCACATATAAATGAAGTCATATGGTATTCATCTTTGTCTAACTTAGTTCACTTAGCATAATACCCTCTAGGTCCATCCATGTTGTCACAAATGGCAAGATTTCATTCTTTTTTATGGCTGAATCTTTATTGGAGAAATGTCTGTTCAAGCCCTTTGCCCATTTTTTCATCATATTTTTTTTACCTTGAGTTGTAGGAGTTTCTTATGTATTTTGGATATCAATAATGTATCAGATACATGCTTGGCAAATATTTTCTCCTATTCCATAGGTTGCCTTTTAACTCTGTTGATTACTTCCTTTGCTGTACAGAGGTTTTTTAGTTTGATGTAGTCCCAGTTACTTAATTTTGTTTTTTTGGTTTTTTTTTGCCTGATTTTGTTTTTATTGTTTGTACTTTTGGTGTCGTATTTAAAAAGTCATTGCTAAGTCTAACATCATAAAGTTTTCCCTGTTTTTCTTTTCTTTCTTTTTTTTTTTTAAGATTTTATTTATTTATTTGACGGGGGAGAGAGAGAGAAAGAGAGAGAGCACAAGCAGGGAGGGGGGCAGACGGCAGAGGGAAAGGGAGAAGCAGGCTCCCCGCTGAGCAGGGGATCTATCCCGGTACCCTGGGATCATGACCCCTGTTTTTCTTCTGGAAGTTTTAGTTTCACGTCTTAAATTTAAATTGTTAATACATTCTAGGTTGATTTTTGTGTGCAGTGTAAGATAAGGGTCCAGGTTAATTCTTTTGCATGTGGATATCCAGTTTTCCCAACACTGTTGAAGAGACTGTTCCTTTCCCTGCTGTGTGTACTTGGCCTTTATGTTGAAGAGCATTTGACCATATATGTGTAGGTTAATTTCTGGCTCTCTATTCTTTCCCAGTGGTAAGTATGTATGTTTTTATTCCAGTACCATACTGTTTTAATTAGTGTAGCTTTGTGATATAGTTTAGAAATCAGGAAGTGTGATGCTGGCAGCTTTGTTCTTTCTCAAAATTGCTTTGTATATTCAGGGTTTTTTGTAGTCCAAATGAATTTTATGATTTTTTTTTAAAGATTTTATTTATTTATTTGACAGAGAGAGTGATAGCGAGAGCAGGAACACAAGCAGGGGGAGTGGGAGAGGGAGAAGCAGGCCCCCCACCCAGCAGGGAGCCCAATGCGGGACTCGATCCCAGGACCCCGGGATCATGACCCGAGCCAAAGG